CTATATGGGAAATTTTCTAACAAAGCTACTCAAACGACTGTTGCTCCTCAATGTTGACATTTTGTGAGGCCACAATTTTGTTCTTAAACACTGTCGTTTCTCAGAACGTGTTCAAATTGCATTGAGAAGCCAATCTGCAAAGGACATAGGAAAATGTTCTCATTATCTTATATCACAGTTTGCTTTTGGCTCTAAATAGTGTTTTCTAACTTATTCATCATACTGGGGCTTCCCTGATGACTCCCAGTGGTAAAGAATCTATCTGCAATTCAGGAGACGTGGGTTCGACCCCTGGGTTGGGAAGATCCCCTAGAGAAGGAAATGGCAAGCCAGTCTAATATGCTTGCCTGGGAAGTCCTGTGGACAGAGGATCCTGTCAGGCTACAGCTCATGGGGTCACAAAGGAGTTGGACATGACTTAGCGATCAAACAACAAATTCATCATATTAAAAAAAAATTCATCACGCTGACAATGATGGTTCTTTCTCTTTTTTTGGTTGTGCGGAGTAAAAACCAGGCGTGGGCCTTCTCTGGTTGCAGCGGGCAGGGGTTACTCCTGGTTGCAGTGCTCAGGCTTCACACTGCAGTGGCTTCTCTTGTTGCAGCACCGGCTCTAGAGCATGGGCTAAGTAGTTGCGGTGCGTGGGCTTTAGCTACTCTGTGACATGTGGAATCTTCCCAGGCCAGGGATTGAACCTGTGTCCCTTGCAGTGACAGGTGGATTCTTAACTGCTGAACCACCAGGGAAGGCAAATGATGGTGTGGGTGTGTATGTGTGTGTGTGTTTGACTGGTAAAATATCCATCTCTACAAATGATGAGTCTGCCAACACTAGGACTTCAATCGAAAAGGGGCCTGATCAAAACACGCTCCGACATAAATCACAGCAGGATCCTCTATGACCCACATCCCAGAATTTTATAAATAAAAGCAAAAATAAACAAATGGGACCTAATGAAACTTAAAAGCTTTTGCACAACAAAGGAAACTATAAGCAAGGTGAAAAGACAGCCCTCAGATTGGGAGAAAATAATAGCAAACGAAGCAACAGACAAAGGATTAATCTCAAAACTATACAAGCAACTCCTCCAGCTCAACTCCAGAAAAATAAATGACCCAATCAAAAAATGGGCCAAAGAACTGAACAGACATTTCTCCAAGGAAGACATACAGATGGCTAACAAACACATGAAAAGATGCTCAACATCACTCATTATCAGAGAAATGCAAATCAAAACCACAATGAGGTACCATTACACACCAGTCAGGATGGCTGCTATCCAAAAGTCTACAAGCAATAAATGCTGGAGAGGGTGTGGAGAAAAGGGAACCCTCTTACACTGTTGGTGGGAATGCAAATTAGTACAGCCACTATGGAAAACAGTGTGGAGATTTCTTAAAAAGCTGGAAATAGAACTGCCATATGACCCAGCAATCCCCCTTCTGGGCATACACACCGAGGAAACCAGATCTGAAAGAGACACGTGCACCCCAATGTTCATCACAGCACTGTTTATAATAGCCAGGACATGGAAGCAACCTAGATACCCATCAGCAGACGAATGGATGAGGAAGCTGTGGTACATATACACCATGGAATATTACTCAGCCATTAAAAAGAATTCATTTGAATCAGTTCTAATGAGATGGATGAAACTGGAGCCCATTATACAGAGCGAAGTAAGCCAGAAAGATAAAGACCATTACAGTACTCTCTTCCTGTTTTAAAACACTTGGATGAATTTGAGAATTGAAGGGAAGTTGATGGGTCAGCTAGGATAATCTTCAAGAGAACAATGTTGCAAAAATGATAAAGCAGGCATGCAGTAAGGTCTTGGAGTCAGTTGATTATAAGCTATTGCATGTCAGCCAGATGGCACTTTAATTTTTAAAAGAAGGGTAATCCTAGAAGGTATAAATGAGACACAGTCTTTAGCTCTGGTCAGTCTTGATTAGAGCACTACCATTTTGGAAAGTGGCTTAAAATAATAACTATTAAAGTTTGATGGAGGAAATACTTGACAGTGGGAGAATTCCAAGTAGAACTGAAGTTTTCTAACTCATATTTTCTACTTATTCATCACATTGGGCTTTCCCTGAGTAGACATCTCTTGGCACCTAAAAACTGTTAACAAGGGCTGGCTGTTGATGTCCTTTTCACTAACATTCTATACATGGTATTTCTTCATTTTCCATTTTTCTCTCCTCATTCTTACTTTCTATATTATTTCCTTTTCATTTCCCCTGGGTGTGACCTTGAACTGTGGCTGAGATGGCTTAATCTCATGAGTAGCAAGTGAAGGCATTTTTGAAGAAGCTGAATTGATGTAATCTTGTTTGGAGTCTGAGGAATAGACTATTTCCTTTAGAATCATGAAAGGGACAAGTAAGACAAAGATTAATCTATGGATCCAATAAAAAGGGTTGATAATTTTAAACATTCTTTGTTACTTCAGGTTGTAAGTAGTAAAAGACAAGCTTCAATTTGAGTATTTGGGTGCTCTGTAATTGTTTAAAGAAGCAAAAGCATGTTGTTCATTGACATACCAGTTAGACCACAGATTTGTTCTGTGACAGGGAAGAGCTGTGGACTGGTCTAGCTGTGCTTGTTACCTCATCTTAAAAAGGTTAGAAATATAGCTGGAGCTCTCCCTAGCAATTCATTTTATTTATTTGTATACTTGTCTTGCCTTGTAAACTAGAATGTAAACACTTAAAGGACAGCAATTATATTTTGTACTTTCATACAGTGATTTATATGTAGAGGGCATACAACAAATATTTGTATAATATCACATTCGTGAATACACACACACATACAATCTTTTTTTGAAATGCAAAGCTCAGATGCCCATATTTCCGAATTTTAAAAAACCAAGATACACAGTCTGAAAAGGTGGAGTATACTTAGGACCATACAGGTGAGTATTTGACCTCAGAAAATACTTGATGATAGAATCACTTTACTTACAGTATCCAGTCCAGGAGTTTTCATTCTGTGTTAAATGGAGAAGGATCTCTGACTGGAATTCACTGGTTCTTCAACTTGAAAGAAAAAAAAAAAACTATTTTTGTTAATATACTGCTGAAATTAAGCATTTTTTCCCATTGTGAATACAGGAAACAAACCACAGTTCGTGGTAACTTTCACTCTCTCACCAATAGGAATAACAGATATTTTCATATCTCATTCCAGTTGTGGGATTTCTTGAAATACCTTCTTTTTGCTTTAAAATTTCAGTAGTTTAACTTGCTGCAAGATATTGATGTTTAAAGAAAAAGATTACTATATCACAAATGTCTTAAATATGTATTTCCTGATTGTATTTCAACATAAAATTTCTTTTATAATGCTATGTATTTTACTTTGCTCATTTAAAAATGCAAAAGATCCATAGTTTTACCAGACTGTCAAATGGCACAAAATAGGTTAAGAACCCTCAAGTTAGAGGCAGATTTATGTGAAGCTAATAAAGTTTAAACTTCAAAGTCCCTTTACCATGCCCTTCCAGATTCTGTTCCTAAATTGTATTCATCATTTTATATTATTTTTCTTAAGGATCCTAGCATATACATTTTAATTTGCATTATAAAGTTATTTATAATTTATATATATTAAAATTATATTACAAAATTATATTAATCATTTCAAATTATAAAATTAGCATTTTAATTTGCATTATAATTTGCATGAGATTAAAACATGCTTGCTCCTTGGAAGAAAAGCTATGACAAACCTAGACAGTGTATTATAAAGCCGAGACATCACTTTGCTGACAAAGATGTCTAGAGTCAAAGCTATGGTTTTTCCAGTAGTCAGGTAGGGATGTGAGAGGTGAACCATAAAGAAGGCTGAGCACTGAAGAATTGATGCTTCAGCGGAGCTGGAGAAGACTCTTGAGAGTCCCGTGGACAGCAAGGAGATCAAACCAGTCAATCCTAAAGGAAATCAACCCTGAATATTCATCGGAAGGACTGATGCTGAAGCTCCAATACTTTGGCTACCTGATTCAGGGTCTTTGGAAAAGACCCTGATGATTGCCAAGAGTGAAGGCAGGAGAAGGGGGCAACAGAGGATGATATGGTTGGATGGCCCCACGGACTCAATGTATATGAGTCTGAGCAAACTCAGGGAGATGGTGGAGAGGGAAGCCTGGCTGTGTTGTAGTCCACGGGGTACACAAACAGTTGGACACGGCTTAGCTACTAAATAATAAAATTATTTGCATAAATTTCACACCGCACGCTGCAAAAGTTGGGTTCTCCATTACGTTCAGCCCAGTACCGAATGCATAGGTTTTCAACAGCTAATTTTTGGTTGATAGTTTCCGGGAAATTTAAATTATCCTTGAAGTGTATCTGGAAATCTCTGAGGCCACTGCTTGGCTTCCTTCTCGCCTGGAGAGGGACAGGGCATTGGAGATGGGGAAGAAAGGGCCGTGGGATGAGAGAGGTTCGGACCAAGGCGAGGAACAGGGGACAAACAAGTAGGGGTGGAGGGTGAGAAACGTTTAGGAAAAACGGGATTTAGCCTCCTTTGGGAATTAGCTCTTTTCCTTGCACGGCTCCTTTGGCTTCGTAGATGCATACACCTGCCCAATGTTCTTTTGTGAATATGAATTAGCTCCAAACCCCACGCAGAAAGGTCTCAGCTCTGTCATTTGTAGCTAACATGACTCTTGAGTAAATGCCCACTTGAGCGATTTCCTTCACATCCTGAGCTGTTCCCAACCATGTGAGGAAGGGAGCCAAGGAGGGAGTTTTCTGAGTACTCCAGGGGATGATTTTTCTTCGCGAAGAAATTCTCCAGCAAAACAGACGAGCCAAACCCCTACAGCGTGCTCTAACTGGAGCCCAGAAAACGACCTAGAGGAGGCCGGGCCGCGTGGCGGTGGGCGTGTCCGGGGCGAACGCCGCGGAGGCGGCTACTCCTGGGAGGAGGATTACCGGCGCTAAGGCGCCGGTGAAGGGGCGGGAGGGCCCGCGGCCGATGGGAGCCGATGGGGGGGCGTAGGGGGCGGGGTTCCGGGAGCGGCCTCGCGCAGGCCGCAGACGAGAAGGGACGGGGGAGGGGGCGGGCCTCGGCCACTCCGGGCCTGCGGCGCCACAGCCTCGCCTACCACTCGCGGCTTCACCACAGACCCCTTTGTGTTCCTGCCCCCGCCCCGGAGGCGCCCCAGCCGGCGGCGCTGAGTTCCCTCATTGGCTCAGCCGATGGCTTCCGCGATTGGCTTCTGAGCCGTCCGGCGTGGGGCGCCTCTTCTCGCTTCTATTGGTCATCTGAGCTGCTCGTCAGGCCGCCGCGCGAAGTGATTGCTCGGCCGCTCAGAGTCCCTGGAAGCAGTTCCGGGAAACCCCGCGTGCTGCCGGGATCGCGTCTCGGTCCGTGACGGGGGGGGGAGGGGGTGGCGCGCGCGCCATTTCTAGTCGTTTTCAAAGCGCCTCGCGCTGGTTCTCACGGGCCCGGCCACCGGCCCCAGCTCTGCCCTGGTGAGTCTCGCGCCGGCCCGCGGGGGGAGGGGCCGGGAGCCCCGATCCGACCCTACCGGGCCCGGCCCGGGCTCGGCGCCTGCTCCCCAGTTTCGTTTTCGCTCCGAGGCCCCCGGGGTGGGGGTGGGGATGGGCTGGGGGCGGCTTCGGCCTCGGCCGGCGGCTCAGCGGAGGGCCTAGCCGCCGCCGAAGCGCTTCCTCGCCCTCGCTCGTCCTCCCCGCTCCCCCCGCCACCCGCCGCCTCCCCTCCAAGCCCAGGCCCATGGTCCGGCCCGTCGGGCGCTCTCCGCGCGGCCTGCCGGGTCCGCCGCGCTTTTCCCGCCTCCGCCTGCCGCTCCACGCGGCCGAGGCGGCCGCTTTCAGTCCCGGCTTTAGGTAGACCCCATCGCCTCTCCCTGCCGGAGCCCCGCCTTGCTCCCTGTTCAGCCGGCCTAGCCGCGCGTGGGGTTTGTTGATGGTCAGAACCGGCATGGGCCGGGGTGGGCCGAGGGCGGGATGCCAACCCGGGTGAGCCGAGCCGGGAGAAAACTTTTGTATGAAGCAGCGGCCGAGAAGCCGGTGTATGTAGGAAAAAGCCTCCTTTTCCCCTCCCCAGCCGCCCCCCCCACCCCAGTTCTGCATGCTGCAAGTCGAGATTTGAAGGAAAAAATGACTACTAGAGGCCATGAAACTTAGGCTTCGAGCGGCGCCTGAGATATCGCAGTTTAAATGCCATAGGCGCACTCTTTTGGAAAGGCGATTCTTTTTCTTCTGCGATAGAAACCGTATTGCCAGAATTTTAAGACTGGAAGAAGCCACGGGGATCTTGAAGGGTTCAGCCCCTTCCACACTACCTGTTTCAGATTTTTTGCTGTCCTCCGGAGTCTAAATTTATGTCTCATGAGTCAGTCGTAGGATGAGGGCTTGACACCTAAGCCATGAGAGAACCGTTAGTTTTCATTTCATTGGATCTTTGAAAGCCGGTCTCTTAAAATGAGAAGAATTTTCACGAGATGTTCAGAAAAAAAAAAAGTCAGGGAAGGGCTAGTGCCAGATTTCCCAAATCTCCCAGCAACCCTGATTTTAAATTTCTCCTTTTTGCAAAAGAAGTTTAGATCAAGTAACATCAATCACATTAGTATATTTGCTGCATCCAGAAATATGGTTTGGCTGTGTGGCATTGAATTGACACAAGAGCTTTAAACGGTCTCATACGACATCAAAGTCTTTTTTTAAAATGAGCACATTAAATTTGGTTTGAAGAGAGCTTTTTCCTTGATCTGCAAGGTTTTGTTTTCTGGACTCCCTTTAATAGTTGTACTTTTTTGTTAAAGTTTACAGACTTTTTTTTTTGAAAATTTCAACTGATTTCAGAGTCAACTTATAGAGAACCTTTGCAATGAATGGTAGTCATAAATATTTCTGTCTTGTGCTTAATACACAACTTGTCTTTCTGCTTTACACATACTTTAAAAAATACCACCTTAACAGATGTTCATTGAACTTTTCTGTTAAAAATTTGCTTTCTTTCCGTGATTGATAGTATTCCCAGGTGCAGTACCGCAAGGGTCTTGTGATACTGAGAACTTTTGAGTTCTAATGATCTATCTTATGGTCGTATTTGAGGGTGGGTGAGCATGGAAAACAACTATATGTTCCCAAAAATATTTTGGACTTGAATGCATCTTTATAGAAGTAGGTTCTACTAATCAGTAAACTATTCATCTTACACTATAAGTAGTTTCTTTATCAAAAGTGCCAGTTTTGAATGTTTTTGTTTTTGCCAGTTCATCAGAATTTGAGTTTTGCCTTGAGAAACATTTATCCACCCAGAGATTAACCACGGAGTCTGCCTCTATATAGACATTAGTGGGTTAGTAAGTCTTAATGTTTTGTAATCATAAGAAGTTATAATACTGTTTATCTCATTTTCATAGTAACAGTTTGTGCATTTTCCTCTCTTCCTGCTTTCTATTACCTCCTCAGTCTTCCTTTTTCATTAATTACAACTAAATATCAGTGGCCTTTGAAGTTGTTTAAGTCAGAAAAACTACACCTGGTGCATTTGCACAGTGTTTTGAGAAGCAGTCTGGACGTGTGGTTATCTTATGTATGGGTTTCAGTGCTTTTTAGGAAACTTGTATTTTCTTTATAGCTGTCTAGGTATCTTCAGTTTCATCAGGAAAAGTAGGCTTTTCCTTGAAATCCACCTTCATGTCTTTTATTTCAGTATTTGTTGCAATGTCTTTATTCTGCTGCTTATTATCTTCATTACATTATAATTTCACCACAGACAAATGCACTTTAATTCCCTATGTTTTGAGGAGTTAGTATAGAGACTGGCCTTGTATGGTTTTATTATTTAATCTTTCTTCAGGGAGTTGATCCATTTCAGTATTACATAAAAGTTGAATACCCAAAATGATTTGGGTAGGTAAATCTGAGACATCTGACCTAAGTTTAAAAAGAAGCAACCTTAACTATAGCTCACTTTTTATTTTATGTGGACTTACAGCAATCATTTAGCTTTTAAACCTGGTCATTTTTTCTTTTAAATCTGTGAATGGGAATAGCAAATTAATTTTAGAACAAAAATTAACGTCAAGCTGTGTTTTTTAAGTTAGGTGGAGAAAACCCAAACCAGCAGCATGTTGAACTAGAGACCACAGGGCATTTATTTCACACCTATGTTGAATTTGAAGCAGAGCTAGTAAAGTTTGAAAGTCCTTGAACCTTAAGTTGTCTGTGGGTGTTCATTCTGTTTTTAAACCAGACTTTTTAAAACTGTTTTAAGAATTGAGAGCCGAGGGGCTTTTTAGGATTTTGTGGTGATCTGTTGATGAGCTCATCAGGACACAACTGCTGCTTTTGTTAATCAGTGATTCTACCTTAAATAAATTCAAGCTTTTATCTCACCTAGTGTACATGAAGTTCCTTAAAGATGCAACACTTCCATGTACATTTCCCATGGTTTTACAGAATTCTCGCAAATTTAGGTCAGATACATCAGAAAAGCCATCAGAAATAATATTTCAATAGAGGTTATTAGCAGCATGTATACAAATTAGATAAATCATGCATTGTCCTACAAACTAGTTATTTCTGGCTTAATGTAATATAGCTCCTGAATTTTTTCCAGCAGCATAATAAAATGGCTAATCAGGTGAATGGTAATGCGGTACAGTTAAAAGAAGAGGAAGAACCAATGGATACTTCCAGTGTAAATCACACAGAACACTACAAGACACTGATAGAGGCAGGCCTCCCTCAGAAGGTGGCAGAAAGACTTGATGAAATATTTCAGACAGGTATAATATACATTTCTTGTTTCTGACTGGTTATGAAAGTGAGGGCAAACCACTTTGAATTTTATAGATTTTTTTAAGGTTAAATATTACTTACTGTTTCTGATCTGTGTAGAGCTGAATGTTACTTTCCCTTCATTGAGGGCATATTGGGTTTGACTTTGATATTCTTATTTCATTATTTTGAAGCCTTGGTGTTGAATATGCAGTCTGAGTTGTTTCAGAACAGTACATCAATTTGTCTTAGATTTACCATCAATTAAAATGTGTTTCAGCATATCAAATTTTACATTTTTTTCTTAATCTAAATCAGTCGTCATTTTGCTTTTACTTTTCTACCTTTAGCTTCTTAATGTGATTGTAAAAATAGCTTAGGTCTTATTAGGTGGCATAATAAGAGGACTAGTTAGATGGTATTGTCTGAAATGATAATAAAATGTCAGACTCTTTGAGAGTTTGTGGCCTGTCCAGTTTGTAACAGACAGAAATCTACAACTCTCAGTAATTTGGAAGTGTTTGGCTTGTAACAGCTGTGTTTTTTTTTTTTTAATCTAGAATCCCATGGTTAAGTGCTTAAGCAAATTGGAACATTTTAATATGGTTGTTGTAAGTGGTTTGAAGTTCTAAAGAGGGAGAGAAATATATTTACCATTAGAGAGCATTGTTCATAAATAAATGTGTCCTCCCCCTTTGGGACCATTAGATGGAAACGTTCTTCCTCTGTGTTTTGTGTGCCTGTCCAGATTTTGGGAGAGAAAATGGAATTGTCTCACAAACTGTGTCTTAAGTACTGTAGTAACAAATACCTAGTTTTTTGTCCTTATTTATTTATTTATTTTTAAATCCGAGAAGCTCAAGCTAAAGCTCATTTAGACACTAAAGTGTCTTCTCAGACTGACTCCTGGGTGATGATCCCTTTGAAAATCAGTGCTCAGGAACTTTCTTTGATGTTCTGCCATAGAGAATTGGCAGTGATCTGCTTAGAGATGCTCTCTTGTAGAGTGTTTTGTTATTGATAAGAGGTTGATGGCTTGGGTGTAGGGTTGGATTGACAGAATGGATTGATGGGTATCCTGAGTTGTGACTTTGGGTGGTGATATGGAATAGTCAGGTAAGGAAATGCCAATTATTTTGGCATGCTCATTTTGAGCTCTTAAATCATGACTTTTTTTTTTTTAAGTAACTTTGCAAGTGTTATTATTTATTATGGAATAAAGTTCTTTTTGGCTTTACCAAAATGGAGTCACTTTTGATGTTAGTTCATATGGACTTGGGGCTTTCAATCTGCCAAATATTTCCATTTTACTTTGGATCAGTTCTGAAATATATTCAGAAATATAAAATTTAACAGACTTAAATTATATTTAAACATAGTAGATGTTCTGTGTGCAGTTAAATATACTATATGTATATTAGAATGCAGTGCATATATTTTCTGTATACTTTGCTTGTAAGTCCATAGTAAAGTCCTTTTAATGCCATTTGAAAAAAAAAAATTGTCATTGTTGACAGTGTTGATAATGCTACAGCATCTTTTAAAATCTCAGCCTGACACTTGTGAAGAACAAAAATGCCTTAAAATACGACTTTTCGGAATTGATTAGTCAAGCTGCACTTGCATTTATAGGAAAAATTTAAAATTTAATGTAAAATATGCCTTTCCACATTCTGACTGCAGCAAAGTAGATGCTCAAAACAAATGAAATTTCATTTTATCTTTGGTGCTAAGGAGGGAAAGCCTTTGACACTTTTTGGAGAGTGGGAAGAATTATTTAGCAAAAATAATTCATTTTTTCCCCCACTTCTTGGGTGGTTAGCAACAACTCCAGCAGTCCATATAATTTGAAGATTGATCCTTGGAAAATAGTGTTTTTGTTTTTTTTTAAACCACTCTAACATAATCAGAACTTATTATTTTAATGCTTATTCTGTAGTACAGTGTGTATGTACATCAGATTTAACTTCCAAGATTTAAACATTTTGCAGAGTGGGAAATGGGGTTAGAATTTTTTTTTGTGGGGTGTGGGGATTGAAATTTATGTTTATAGGTGTTAACATTGTGTCTTCTGTTTTCATATTTGTACTCTTGATCTTTTTATATAGTATTTGTATAGCTGACCTATATGCGTATAGTTGAATGAAAATGTAGTTAGTGATAGTATTGAGTATAGCAATTCTTGATGGAACATTTATTTATAGCACAGTTTAGACTATCCTCTTTGTTGCAATAACGTTACCTGTTTTCAATTTAATTTTTAGGATTGGTAGCTTATGTCGATCTTGATGAAAGAGCAATTGATGCTCTCAGGGAATTTAATGAAGAAGGAGCTCTGTCTGTACTACAGCAGTTCAAGGAAAGTGACTTATCACATGTTCAGGTAAGGACATTATCCAGAAAAGTCTTTGAACAACTAATGATCTGAAATTATTTTACTATTACTTTCTTTCCTGTGGATAAGTGGTATTTTTTATTTGTGACTACTACTGCTTCTTTAAAAAAATTAGCTTAAAAAAATCTACATGGCAAAAAGTTTTCAGAAATGCAAGTGTAAAGTAAAAGTCTCCCACTTCTTGTGACATTTTTGGATTATGTGAAACTGTTTTGTTATCTTAGAGGGAAATAGTGTAGATAGGAATAGTTTCAGGACATCTGGCAAAAATAGCCCAGATGCATTTAAATATCAGCAAATGGAAGACTATTTTGCCAGTGCTGAAGGTAAGCTCCCCAGAGGTCTTACATGTCTTAAGTGCTGTCAGTTCCAGTCTCTGGCACATAGCAACCACTCATCAAGTATTTGTTGAGTTAATAAATGAGTAAATATTTTGTTTAAATTCTGTTCTTCTGAAATTTGAATTTAATTGTATATTTGACCCTTCAACAATTCCTGATAATTCTTTTTCATTGAATTACTTGGCTGTTCTAGAACAAAAGTGCATTTTTATGTGGAGTTATGAAGACCTACAGGCAAAGGGAGAAACAGGGGAGCAAGGTGCAAGAGTCCACAAAGGGACCTGATGAAGCAAAGATCAAGGTAAAACTTGACTTGGGTAGTTGTAATGAAGTTAAATGTAATTATGAGATCAATGCACTAGAAATATTTATTTCTTTGGATGGGTCAGGTCTTGGTGGTGGCACGAGGGATCTTCCTTGCATGATGTGCGGTCTTGCATTGTGGTGTAAGGGCTTCTCTGCAGTTGCAGTGCTCTGACATAGAGTACATAATGCCTGGAACGTAGGGAGATCAGTATAACTATGAGCCATTATTGTTACTGTTATTATTATTTAGATAAACTGAAAGGAAAATACAGGGCCTTTAGTGTATCCTAAAGAAGATCAGTCCTGGGTGTTCATTGGAGGGACTGAAGTTGAAGCTGAAACTCCAATCCTTTGTCCACCTGATGCGAAGAGCTGACTCATTTGAAAAGACCCTGATGCTGGGAAAGATTGAGGGCAGGAGGAGAAGGGGATGACAGAGGATGAGATGGTTGGATGGCATCACCAACTCGATGGACATGGGTTTGGGTAGATTCCGGGAGTTGGTGATGGACAGGGAGGCTTGGCATGCTGCGGTTCATGGGGTTGCAAAGAGTAGGACACGACTGACTAACTGAACTGAGTGAACCGCATACTTTAGTTAAATGGATACTGATGTTTTGCTGTAGTGATAGACTTTTCAATTTGAAATAGTTAATGTTGAAGTTTGTATAGTTCCATCATGTTTTAGACAAGAAATTCAACTTAAAATTTTTACCCCTTTGTACCTTTTTTTCCTCATGTGGAAAATGGCACACTTCCATTCTTATATCTTAAATAATAGGTGAGAACTTTATTTGCTATAATGGTTATTTTTTTTTAAACTTACTTCTGTTCATAGAATAGGTCTATGTTATTTCCCTAAAACTGGCTATCTGCTCTTTAGAAGGTGCATATTGTATATGTAATATGTGTGTACTACATATTATACAAGTAATGGATAATATACATGTTTTGTGTCAATGGTAGAAGAATGGAAGGTCTAAGATAACTGTAATCCCAGGGCTATCCAGAGGTATTTTTTAAAACTATTGAACTTGATGTGATCTAAAATTTCTTGTTGCTCTAACATTCTGTGATTTTTTTAAAACCTGAAGTGTAAAATCCTCCCATTGCTAGATAGATTGCCTTTCTTTTTCTCCGTTGTCTTTGTTCTGTAGGCCTTCCGTATGAACATAAACCCTTACGGGCAAGGACAGTGTCATCTTCTCTATGATTCCTCTTAATGCCTCATGTGATGTTGTGAGGAAAGTTGGAAATGAGGAAACAGTTTATTTTTTGAAACCTGAAATTATATTCATTTGGTAATTGCCAAGTATTTTGAGTCTGTGCTGTATGAGAAATGGTCTGGTTCTTATGAAGCTTATGGTATAGGAGTACAAAACAACAGGATCAAACAAAGTAAAGTTTTAAATTATTTGAGTACAATAGAAAGTCAGAGTAGGAGGATGTGAGGAATAGTGAATGGAAGTAGCTGCCTAAAAGAGCTAGGACTTCTGATTTCCTCTTGTTTTTAAGGATAGAGAACATTTTATTTGAAAAGAATCACTTGTGGATGTAGGTATGGTATGTGAAGGGAACAAAGAAGGGAAAAATCTGATGTAGAGGGGATACAAAAGGAGGCATACTGTGGTATGTAAGTATGAACAGATAGCTTGGGGTCAGCTTATGTCGAAGTGTTAGTAATCCTTCCCTCTGTTTTTCTTTTCTCATTAAAAAAGATGATGTGTGCTCAGAGACTTAATTTGCCTACAACTCTCCATTAAGTGTCTGGAAAGGAGAAGTAAAAGTCTATGTGTGTGAGAAGAACCAGTGTGAATTCTGTGATTTTTTTTTTTTTCTTTTTTTCCCCCTTGACTAATACTAAAATATTGGGGTACCTTTTGGAAAAGATCTTTATTTTGATTTGTGTGTGTATTTGTAAGATGTTTAACACTCAGATATTAACAATTATGTATAATTATCTTTAGGCCTTGCTTGAAAGGACCGGTTATACCTTGGATGTAACCACAGGACAGAGGAAGTATGGTGGTCCTCCCCCAGACAGTGTGTACTCTGGCGTGCAACCTGGAATTGGAACAGAAGTAAGTGTTCTTCAGCCTTTTGCTGAAATCTGTCCACTTTGTAAATATTTCTATCTATTGCATGATGGGAAAAATAACTTCCATTTTTCTCAAAGAGTAGCCATAACTTCTGTTTTGGTGTCCATTTGTATTTTGCTGTCATCGTAAGTAGGGATAATCCTGCGAATGGTAGATACCTAAACACTTTGTGAAGGAATGTATAGAGTTCTTGGAACTGGTAGCTAGAACTATGCAACTAGCAACACACCATTTTAGGTCCTTGGGATGAGGTTGTTAAGGAGAAGCAATTGCTTTATTCTGTTTTTCTTTTATGTCAAAATGGTGCTTGTCATCTCTCCTTGACCCTCCCCTCTCTGTGTTTACAGAGAGATTTATTGAAGGGAATGGGTTGCACACGGGAAGGATGTAGAATCAAATAAAAGGTTGAGCATGTTGGTCTATACTTGAAAGAAGGAGTCCCTTCTCCATCTGTGTGTTCATGAGGGTTCCTTCATATGCCTTTATGTTAGACTATTCTAATCCTTTAAATGGAGAACGCTGAATGCCAAAAGATAAGTCCTATTGTTGCAGGTACCTTTTCTGATTTGATGTCTCCATTGTCTTTTTAGTGCCTAGCATAATGCCAGGAGTATAGTAGGACAGATAATTGGTGGTTATGGTTTATTTTCTTTGAATACTGTAATCATGACTTCATAACTTAAAATTAGATTAAATGATAATCTTACAGGATTTTCTTTAAAGCAGAGTGAAGGGAGTAGGTCCTTAAGTGATGGTGTCAGTTAAAATATTTATGTGGTATCATTATATATCTCCTACTTATTAGAATTTTAAGAAATGCTAAAACTTTATTCAAACATTATCAATGACACCCTTCTGAGTGCTGAAACTTAACTTTTGAGGTACCCCAAAGCACAGATTGTCATTTCTAGTTTGTGAGTATGTAAATAAAGACATCACCATTTAATGTAACTTTTCAGATCTATATCAGAGCTAATTTTAATTATGGTCTCTGTATGTAAATTTACATTTATTGGTTGTTCCCTGAGCTGCTTTTATGCATTATTAGAGTTAGTATTCTGTTTCTTAATATTTAACATTATTAAAAGGACTCTAGGCCTTTTTATGATATGTGAATCAGATACATATGCTTGTTTTTGAATTTAAAAAAAACTACTGTAAATTACTTGCTGCTATATAATTATTGATAGAGTTGGGATTGGGACTCTAAGCCATCTACATTCCTTTTAGGAGAAACTGTCATTGAAACATAATATACTCACGGTTGTCCTCTCGTTAATTCCCTGACACCATACTTTAATGTTCTATTTATGTTGTGAAGTGAAGTCACCCAGTCGTGTCCAACTCTTTGCAACTCTATGGACTGTAGCCTAACAGGCTCCTCCATCCATGGGATTTTCCTGGCAAGAATACTGGAGTGGGTTGCCATTTCCTTCTCCAGGAGATATTCCTGACCCAGGGATCGAACCCGGGTCTCCCGCATTGTAGGCAGCCACTTTACCATCTGAGCCACCAGGGAAGTCCACTTATGTTGTGAACCCTTTTAAATCTACATTTATATTTCATTTTTAAAGAATACGGAGAGACTTTCCTGGTACTCCAGTGTAAGTTAAGACTCTGGTCCCAGTGCAGGGGGCACAGGTTCAACCCTTGGTTGGGGAACTGAGATTCTTCATGCCACGTGGTGTGGCCAAAAGAATAATAAACAATATGGAAATATAACTCAGCTTTCTTACAGGGACTCCTGTACTATATGTATTTTTTTTCTAATGGTTTTAAATTTGCACCTAAGCCCTCATGTAAAGTGAATAAAAAATGGAATTGTTCCTTTGCCTTTTTCTTGTTCCTGAGACAAGTTGAAACACCTCCAAGAGGGGAATACATTTTGAAAAAGTTATCTATAGTATACCATTCATCATATGATATCCTTATTAATTATTATTTCACTTTCTTAGTCTTGTTTCTTTGACTAGGTATAAAATCTTTAGAAATAAAAGTTGTGTCATACAGTTTTGTTCTTCACAGTGCCCAATATAGCCTACTGTAAAATTGGTTGTTATCTATTTTGTAATTAATCGAAATAAATTTTGTTAGCCTGTTAGGTAGGTTCATTAATGAACTCTTTAATGGAGACTTGTTTTATCTTTGCTCTATGTAGATAAGGGACTGGTGTGCTGCAGTCCATGGGGTCGCAAAGAGTCTGACACTGCTGAGCGACTGAACTGAACTGATGTAGACAGGGAGGGTTTTGCTAGTACTTTTAAGATTTCACTGGAAGTTCTTCATTTAATAAACTGTTCTGAGTACCCAGTTAAAAACAAATCGTATTTTAAATGTAAAGTTTGTTTCAGTTCAATTCAGTTCAGTCACTCAGTCATGTCAGACTTTTTGTCACCCCATGGACTGCAGCATGCCAGGCTTTCCTTTCCATCAACAACTTCCGGGAGCTTGCTCAAACTCATGTCCATTGAGTCGGTGACGCCATCCAACCATCTCATCCTCTGTTGTCCCCTTCTCCTGTCTTCAGTCTTTCCCAGCATCAGGGTCTTTTCTAATGAGTCAATTCTTCACATCAGTTGACCGAAGTATTGGAGTTTCAGCTTCACTGTCTGTCCTTCTAATGAATATTCAGGACTGATTTCCTTTAGGATTGACTGGTTTGATCTCCTTGCAGATTTTATATTTCACTCCTTCTGTAGAAGAAAGATGTGTTTTTCTGTATGTTAGTTATGTACAGCAGATATGGTTGCAGCAAAAATCCCTATATGAAATCAGCAGCCTAAAGCACTCCTGTCAGGCAAAAGTTTGGATTCCTCCCTTAAGTTCAGATTTCATGAGATCTGGCCCATACTTGTTGAAGATTAAAGTTTTGAAAATTAGGTGTCTTTTAATATATTGGGTTGATGATAGATTTAGTAAAGTAATTGGTTTTAATTGATATCACTTTTGATGCACCAAGGTTTGGGGTTTTGTTCTTCTGTGGCTCATTGCAGTTACTAAAAATTACTACTAGCTCTTGATTGAGAAAGTTGAAATTAGGGTCAGTGCCTATTACTGACAGTTTTGAAAGTAAGTTACGAGAAGACAAGTTTTATCTTTGAATAAAATCTACTGTAAATTAACCGTATGGTGAATACTCATTAATGGACCTTGTTGCTAAGCATTGACCTTGAGATGAGAAATATACAAGAATGAGAATACCAATTTTGAAAAGTATTTTTTTTAGTGTGCCTTGGCTCTCAGACCTAGTATGGCTATAGTATTTTTGTATCCTTTTTCCCCTTTTTATTCCAGTTTTATTGAGAAGTACTTGACATACAGCACTATATAAGTTTAAGGTGTATAGCATAATGGTTTGACTTACATACATCATGAAATGAGGACCACACCAAGTTTAGTAGGCATGCATCACCTCATCAAATTAAATAGAAAAAAATAATGATTCTTGCTTGTGATGAGAACTCGGGGTTTACTGTTAGCAACTTTCTTATATAACATAGAGTAGTGTTAATTATATTTATCATGTTGTACATTATATCCCTAGTTACAACTGGAAGTTTGTAGCTTTCTTTAATTACTTTCATCCAGATCCTTCTCCTCCCAACCCCACCTCTGGTCACCACAAATTGATCCATTTTTGTGTGAGTTTGTTCTTCTGTTTGATTTTGAAGCTCAGTTGACCTTCAACACTGCTGTTAGCTCCAGGCGCGCAGCACGGTGATGTGATATCTCTGTGGTTTCAGAACGATCACCATGAGTCTAGTTACTGCGTGTCGCAGTACCTGTCTGTTCTTCAGCTGGTTTTGTAAAACTCTTATTTCATTGACATAAATGTAATCTCCATGCAGATCATGTCTATATATTGATAATAAGCTCTGTATATTGGATTTAACTCTTTGTTTTATTAGCTAGTTGAAGTGTTAAAAAGAAACAGGGTGTTTAACAGACCTATAAGTATCTGACTTTGTGGCATCTGATTTGCATTATCTATAAAGAAAAGCTGCTGTGTTTGCAGAAATAGCGAGTAGCAGCTGGATAACGGAGCAACCGCTGTAGATAGTCAGAAGCACTGTGGAGCTTCTTGGCTACTTCCGTTGGTTCCTTCCAGAGCCTTCAGGGCTTCCTCTCTTACTGTTGGAGTGATCAGTGGGTAGACAGCGGCCAAAACTTGTTCAGAACCTTGATGTCTAATGAGTAAAGGGAGAACAGTTGTTTGGGTGTTCACTGGATTCTGTTGGTTCTGGTGGGGAGGGTTAACCTGCACATGACTGAGTGTTTACTCTGGACAGCTCATATGGAGCCAGAATGGCTCAGGGACCAACACAGTAATAAAAGGAAAACATTTATATTACATTTCAGTTCATTAAAAACTGAGCTTAAAAAACTTTAAAAAGAGGGATGCTTAGTTAATTTTTGAATACCGTATATTTTCAGCCTTTTAAAGTTCTTTTAAAGTCTTTAGTTAAACTGATTTTGAAATGAGACCATCTCCTGTTTCTCAAGCAAATCAGTGTTTTTGGCCTGTTTCTTTATGGACCCCAGTGATTATAACATTGGGCAAAGGTTTGTTGATGTTTCTTTTATTTTTGTTTATATGTTTATTTTTGTCCATGCCATGTGCGGCATATGGGATCTTAGTTCCCTGACCAAGGATCAAACCCTTGCCCCTTGCAGTGGAAGCGCAGAGTGCTAACCCCTGGACTGCCAGACAATTCCTTGATATTTCTTTTAAAATAAAACAGTGTTCTTATGAAAAAGCTGCAATGTCAGATGGACTTCTAACATTCAGATGATTATGTAGAGTACAAGAAGCTTACTGTTATGAATTCTTCCTAATCAATCAATTGCTTTTCCTGAAAATACAGATCTTTTCAAGTATGCTTAATGAAGCAAACCTGAATGGTTCTGAAAATATAGACGTGTGTTAAGAAAGTGGTATAATAATCTGACACTTGGATTCCTCATTTAGCTGTGTTCAGCTG